GCATATTCCCCAGTGGGGTAGATGTGCAGGAGGCAGCTGATCGATGTTTCTCTCTCATTGATGTTTCTAACTCTCTCTCTCTCCCTTCCTCTCTGTAAAAAATCGATAAAATATATTTTAAAAAATAAATAAATAAAATGAAATTCTCCAAAATAGCTTTTGGGTAAAGGAGGAAATCAAGAATCAGGTGTGAATTAAGAAAATAATACAGCCCTAGCCGGTGTGGCTCAGTGGCTGGAGCCTTGGCCTGCAGACTGAAGGGTCCCTAGTTGAATTCCGGTCAAGGGCACAGGCCCAGGTTGTGGGCTCGATCGCCAGTAGGGGGCGTGCAGGAGGCAGCTGATCAATGCTTCTCTCATCATTGTTATTTCTCTCTCCCTCTCCCTCTCTGAAATCAGTAAAAATATAAATATCTTTTAAAAAAGAAAATAACACAAAGAATTGCACTTATGAAAACCAACAGGACGCATGCAAACCTTTACCCAAAAAGTTTTGTAGCTTTTATAATGGTGTTATTATTCAACCCATAAAAAGTTAAAATATTCATAAAATCATTTAGAAATATTAAAACAGCACCCCCAAATAAAGATGAGGAAGGAAGGAATCAGAAAAAAAAAACAACACACAGAAAAGAAGAAATTAGAAACTAGAAAAACAGTCAAAGTTCCTTGAACTGGTTCCTTTAGTTAAAGCAGAGACTAAGTCATACAACGGACACACGCAATCAAGGAAGAAATAAAACAGAAATGAACCCAACTTAAGGCGAAGTAAATGGTGGCCATCACAAGAGAAATCAGCTAAAAATAGAAAAGGATATTATGTGAAATTGCTGACAAATTTGAAAACGAGTGAAATCGTTTTCTGGGGTTAAAAAAACGAAACACCTAGAAATTTCCTCTATTTGAGAAAAATCAGAAGTGGAAACCCTCCTTGGGTTTCTGCTCAAATGTTCTCTGGACAGAAACTCTCCTCATCAGCTTTTTGCTTTTTTTTTTTTTAATTCATCTGAGAGAGAAACATCGATTTGTTGTTCCACTCATTGATTGATTCTTTTTCTTTTTTTTTAAAAAAATATTTTATTGATTGTTTTTACAGAGAAGGAGAGGGACAGAGTGCCAGAAACATCGATGATAGAGAAACATCGATCAGCTGCCTCCTGCACGGCCCCCACTGGGGATGTGCCCACAACCAAGGTACATGCCCTTGACCGGAATCGAACCCGGGACCTTTCAGTCCGCAGGCCGACGCTCCATCCACTGAGCCAAACCAGTTCGGCTCTTTTTCTTTTTTAAAATATATTTCTTTATTGATTTCAGGGAGGAAGGGAAGAGAGAGAGAGATAGAAACATCAATGAGGAGAGAGAATCATGGATCGGCTGCCTCCTGCACGCCCCACACTGGGGATCGAGCCCACAACCCGGGCATGTGCCCTGACCCGGACTCGAACCTGGGACCCTTCAGTCTGCAGGCTAATGCTCTATCCACTGAGCCAAGCCAGCTAGGGCTCATTGGTTGATTCTTCTATGTGGCCTGACCGGGGACGGAACTCGCAACCTTGGTGTATCAGGACGATGCTCTAACCAACTGCACTGCCCGGCCAGGGCTACGTTACATATTTTAAAAGCCATTTTTTATGACCTAAAGACCTCATATAAATGATTTTTTTTAAACTGTAAAATCCCAATAGGTAAATGGTCAAAAGACACTGAGTCAGGTCACTGAAGAGAAAAGTGCCGGAACACAAAACTACAAGAAAATGTTCGAGGTCACGGCCATTTAAATAAACCCAAAGTTGCCCTCGCTGGTTTGACCCAGTGGATGGAGCATCAGCCTGAGGACTGAAGGTTCGATTCCGGTCAAGGGCACATGCCTGAGTTGCAGGCTCGATCCCCAGTGTGGGGTCTGCAGGAGGCAGCTGATCAGCGATTCTCTCTCATCATTGACGTTTCTATCTCTCCCTCTCCTTTCCTTTCTGAAATCAATGACAATATATTAAAAACAAAACCATGATCTAAGCATATATTTTTTTAAAAAAGAATTAACGGAGTAAAAAAGTGAAACAGATCCTTTACGCCTTGGAGCCCTTAATTTGTTATTTTGTGTTGGGATTCCCTAAGCACGAGTGTAGTATAGAGTCTTTCTTAAACTTTTTAAATTAAAGAACAAGGGTTCGGACCTGACTGGTTTGACTCAGTGGATAGAGCATCGGCCTGCGGACTGAAGGGTCCCAGGTTCGATTCATGTGCCTTGGTTGCGGGCACATCCCCAGTGGGGGGTGTGCAGGAGGCAGCTGATGGATGTTTCTAACTTCCCTATCCCTCTCCCTTCCTCTCTGTAAAAAATCAATAAGATATATTTAAAAAAATAAAAATAAAAGAGAAGGAACTTAAAAAAAAAACTATAGACAAGGCTTCGGATTCAAAATCCTTTTTATTTATCATCCACGGTTGTACGTTGTGCTTTCTTTTTCATGGCAAACATCCAAGCATTTCCACTCTATCATGGATTAAATGAAAATTTTCAGCTAGTTTGGGAACTTAACCATTAACAAGTCCCCTGCCCCCTCCCTCTCCCTCTCCCTACACGGAACCCTGCGCTCTGCAGCTGCCTCGGTGCCAGGAAGACCCCGTGGACGGGTCCCAAGGGTTTGCTGCTCAAAGAGGTTTGCAAACGCCAAAGCTCAATGCACGAACCCAGGTATTCCTGGTGTGGGTGAGGCTGCGGCCCTACTTGGAAGAATCCTGTAACAGTAGACTCCACTGCGTTTCTTTATCGGAGCAGGAATCTGCATGTAGCTTTTAGATCGGATTTCTAGAATTCTCCATTCTTTTTTGTTGTTGCTTTTTTTTGTTGTTGTTAATCCTCATCGGAGGATATTTTCCCATTGATTTTTAGAGATGGGGAGAGACTGAGAGAAACATCGATGTGGGAGAGACACACTGATTGGTTGCAAACCTGCAACTGAGGTACGTGCCCTTGACCTGAATCGAACCCAGGACCCTTCCGTCTGAGGGCTGATGCTCTAACCACTGAGCAACCGGCCAGGGCTGGAATTCTCCATTCTTAAGGAGCAGTTCCCAGAATAACCAGGATTCTCCCTGATTGGCCGTCCTGAGGATGGGCTGGGGGGGCGGGAGGGAATGAAGGCTCATGCTGACCAGCAGAAGGTGGACGGAGCCCAGAATCTTTGAGAAGTCAGTCCTTTTGGGGGCGAATCCTGGGGACCAGACGCCTCTGGAACAGAGAGCTCCGTCCTTTACAAAACCTCAGGTCAGTGGTTCTCAACCTTCTGGCCCTTTAAATACAGTTCCTCATGTTGTGACCCAACCATAAAATTATTTTCGTGGCTACTTCATCACTGTAATGTTGCTACTGTGATGACTCGTCATGTAAATATCTGATGTGCAGGATGGTCTTAGGCGACCCCTGTGAAAGGGGCGTTCGACTGCCAAAGGGGTCGCGACCCACAGGTTGAGAACCGCTGCCTTGGGTTGTTATACAACAGGCTGTAATTAATATCACCCCCGGCTCGGAGAGACATCCCATCATGCTAATGAAAAATGAAAGCCACCTGGGCTCAGGGCCCAGAGCCTGCAGACACGTGCCAGGCCAGGAGCCACCAGCAGAGGGCGCTCACGGGGACCTGAGGTGCCCCATGCCAATCATTGCCCATGGTGCCAGCCACCTGTAGGAGAATGCAGCCCTGGCCCACCTGGTCCTGTTCAGCCAGAGCAGGGCAGGTACCCGGAGTCCTGCTGCCCCAGGCGATGTGAGCCATTCAGAGGGGAGGCCTGGGAGGGTTGGGGGCAAGGGGTGATGCAGAGCAGGGAGGCACTGCTGTGGTGGGATTCAACGAGAGAACATGTATGAACCACACATGATAGGCACTTGTAATCAATGTTTGCAATGCTGATAATGATGCTGCTGCTGCTGAACTAATTCCTCCTTTGTATCCCCCCCTCTTCACCCAACCCAAACATTTCTACCCTTCACAGCTACTCTTCCTCCGAGAAGCCCTCCAGGATCACTTCGGGCCAGTGGTTTACAAATTGGGGGCCCTTCCGCATCACCTGAGAAGGTGAGAAGTTTGTTGGTTCTGGTTGTTGTTGTTTTAATGTTCTTACTGATTTCAGAGAGAGGAAGGGAGAGGGAGAGATAGAAACATCAATGATGAGAGAGAATCATCGATTGGCTGCCTCCTTCATGCCCCCTATTGGGGATCGAGCCCACACTACTGGGGCATGTGCCCTGACGGGGAATTGAACCGGTGACCTCTTGGTTCCTGGGCCAACACTCAACCACTGAGCACAACACTGGCTAGGCTTGAATCTCTTTAAATTATTTTTTTCTACTTGGCATAAAGGTTCAATGTTATTCTTTTGCATGTGGATAGCCACTTTTCCCAGCACCATTTATTGAAGAGGTGGCCCCTTTTCCCGTCGAGTGGCCTTGGCACTCTTGGGGAAGATCATTTGGTCATATATGGCTATTTAGGGTCCCTTGACTTGAATGACAATATAGACTAATTGCTCTGGCTAGAACCTCCAGTACTGTGTCGACTAACAGTGTTAGGCATGGGCATTCTTGTCATGTTCCTGGTTTTAGGGAGTTTTCAGTCTTTCCCCATTGATTGAAATGTTCCCTGCAGGCTTGTTATAAATACACTAGCGGCCCTCTAGCAATCCGGGACCCCTTGGGGGATGTCAGACTGCCGGTTTCGGCCCCACTCCCCGCAGGCCAGGCCGAGGCACCCCACCGGTGCACGAATCTGTGCACCGGGCCTCTAGTATGCATGTAAGATCTTTGGTTAATCTCTTCCTGTCCTCTCCCCTGCCCCCTTCCCTCTGAGATTCATCAGTTTGTTGCATGTTTCCATGCTTGTGCATTGAGCGTCTGCCCCCTGGTGGTCAATGTGCGTCATAGGTACTGGTTGGACGGTCAGATGGTCGCTTAGGCTTTTATATATAGAGATAGCCTTTATTATAGTAACACCCCCCCACCACAACCTCAATCTACAACTTCACTTTCCAAGGTTTCAGTTACCCACGGTCAACTGTGATCTGAAAATATTAAATTGAAAATTCCAGAAATAAATAATGCATCCGTTTGAGATGGTACCCTTTCTGAGTAGTGATGAGATCTCACGTGACCTGCTTATTCCCGCCTGAGATGTGAAGCATTCCTCCCTCCACGCCGTGAGGTTCTGCCCTGTAGTCACGTGCCGTCTTGGTTATCACGACTGATGGCAGGGCTGGTGTGCGCATGACCCTTGTTTCCTTTATAAGGGCCCCACAGCGCAGGAGCAGTGATGCTGGCCATTCGGATATGCCCCACAGAGAAGCCGGAAAGTGTATGTATGTGTAAGAAACAGCATAGTATATACGTAGGTTCAGTACTATCCCTGGTTTCAGGCATTGACTGGGTCTTGGAACATATCCCCTTTGGATAAGGGGTAACTAATGTATATTGAGATAGTTTCCTTTTATTCTGACTTTGTTGTGTTGCTGGTTTTTTTTTTTTGTTTTTTTTTTGTTTTTAAATATATTTTATTGATTTTTTACAGAGAGGAAGGGAGAGAGATAGAGAGTTAGAAACATCGATGAGAGAGAGAAACATCGATCAGCCGCCTCCTGCACATCTCCTACTGGGGAAGTGCCCGCAACCCAGGTACATGCCCTTGACCGGAATCGAACCTGGGACCTTTCAGTCCGCAGGCCGACGCTCTATCCACTGAGCCAAACCGGTTTCGGCAGTTTTGTTTTGTTTTTTTATCATAAAACTGTTGAATTTTGCCAAAAGCTTTTTCTGTATCAGTTGAGATGATTGTGCGGTTTTTGCCCTTCATTCTGTTCATGGGGAGTATGTATTACGTTGACTGATTTTTTTAAAATATATATTTTATTGATTTTTTTACAGAGAGGAAGGGAGAGGGATAGAGAGCCAGAAACATCGATGAGAGAGAAACATCGACCAGCTGCCTCCTGCACACTCCCCACTGGGGATATGCCCGCAACCAAGGTACATGTCCTTGACCGGAATCGAACCTGGGACCTTTGAGTCCGTAGGCCGATGCTCTATCTGCTGAGCCAAACCAGCTAGGGCCGTTGACTGATTTTTTAAAAAATATTTTTAAAATTGATTTCAAAGAGAAGGGAGAGGAAGAGAGAGAGAGGGGGGGGCATCAATGAAGAAAATCATTGATTGTCTGCCTCCTGCACACCCCCTACTGGGGAACGAGCCTGCAACCCAGGCATGTGCCCTGACCGGGAATCGAAGTCTGACCTCCTGGTCCATGCGTCTACATTCAATCATTGAGCCACACCTGGCTGGGCACGTTGACAAATTTTTGTACCTTGGATCATTCTTGCATTTCAGGAATAAACCCCACGTGGTCATGGTGTATAAGGCGCCCACCCCCCACTTTTATTTTGGTTAATCCTCACCTGAGGGTATTTTTCTTTTTCTTTCTTTTCTTTTTTTAAAATATATTTTATTGATTTTTTACAGAGAGGAAGGGAGAAGGATAGAGAGTTAGAAACATCGATGAGAGAGAAACATCAATCAGCTGCCTCCTGCACACCTCCCACTGGGGATGTGCCCGAAACCAAGGTACATGCCCCTGATCGGAATCGAACCTGGGACCTTTCAGTCCGCAGGCCGACGCTCTATCCACTGAGCCAAACCGGTCAGGGCTCTTTTCTTTTTTTTTTTTCCTGCAAAAAGCTTTATTGTTTCATTTGGTCCAATGCATGGGAGAGGGCTCCAGGGTGGTTAAAAGAATGGCTAGTAGTTTCAGGAAGAGGCTCAGGTAAAAGCCAGAGACACTAGGGCAGGGGTGGGCAACCTTTTTGTGAGTGTGTGCCAAAACCAGCGAAATCTCTGACTCGAAATTCTTCTGCGTGCCAGCCCTAATTTTTTGGGAACATGTTACGCCTACTTGATATCTCTTAAGGTGTACGTATGTGAAGAACCTTGAAGAAATAATAAAATTCATTCGAGCGACAAAAACACAGTATATGATGATGAAAAATACATTTATTTTTTAATGTATACACGTACACTGATAGTCCGACAGAAAACTTTATGACTCCGTTTGATATTATCAGTGGGACTTTTGCTGCTGCATCACTGATGACAGAGATTTTACATCAGGTTTCTGTTTCGTGACCTTCAGAGATATGCACGAGCTACTACTTTCATCCGTCAGGCTACTCCTTTTACGAGACTTAACAAAATTCATCTCTGAGAACAAAGATTCACAAGCGTATGTGGATGAAACCAAAGCACTGGTCGGATCTAGGAAGGCAGGGAGAGTTAAGGCAGAGGCATAGAAATTGCTCTTCCTCTCTCTCGTCCATCCATGTCTATGGTCTTTAAGATAACTTGTTATGTAAAATTATTTATTTATCTAAGATGCACCTACACTGAATTTATCTGAAAAATAAAAAAGTCGATATTAAGAAAAAAATTGTGCCCTAACTGGTTTGGCTCAGTGGATAGAGCGTCGGCCTGCGGACTGAAGGGTCCCAGGTTCGATTCCGGTCAAGGGCATGTACCTTGGTTGTGGGCACATCCCCAGTAGGCGGTGTGCAGGAGGCAGCTGATTGAGATTTCTCTCTCTTTGATGTTTCTAATTCTCTATCCCTCTTCCTTCCACTCTGTAAAAAAATCAATAAAATATATTTTTAAAAAAATTGTAAATGGAAGATTATAAGAGAGGGTTTCGCGTGCCAGCAAAAGTTACTGGCGTGCCGTGTTTGGCACGCGTGCCAGCGGTTGCCCACCCCTGCCCTAGGGGATGCAGAAGGGCCTCTGAAAGCCTCTGGGCTCCAAAGGCTCTAGTCGTGCTTGAGGGGGAGCCTTTCGAAAAGATACCCTCCCAGCCCAGCCTGGGGGGCGGCCAGCCTGCGGATGTTAGTCAGGTGGTCGCCCATCTTCTTGGTCAGTTTTACCTCCTCATCCAGGAAGTGGTTCTCCAGGAAGTCGCAGAGATGAGGGTCAGCACGGATAGAACCCGGGGCCTGCCGCTCCCCAAGGGCCTGGTTCAGGTTCGTCTCCAAGGCCAGGGCGGCTTCCCTGGCGTCCTGAGTTCTGCCCCAGTCATCCTGGGAAGGTTTCTGCACGTCCTGGAAGAGGATGCGGCCGCCACGTTCGTTTTGCAACTTTAAGAGATGCTCAGCGCCCTCGCACTTCACCCCAGAGCCACATCCTCAGGTCGAAATAGTAGCCCCGAGAGAGGTAGGTGTGCGAGGCCCGCAGATGCAGGCTGGCCAGGCGGGTGACGGTGCCTCCACCTCAGGGAATAATTCTGACGAATTTGGGAGCTCCTGGTTATTCAACAATAAGGAGTTAAGGTAGAAAAACGAACAAACGGTGTGTTGGCCGGTCCCGGAGGTGGTTCTGAAGGTGGCGGCTGGATGAGACGCAGGAGAGGGGTCGGAGGCTGGAAGTGGGGGCGTCCCTGGGTCTGTTCTGTCCAAACACTGTTGAAGCCAGAGACAGATCCGGGACCTTCGAGTGCACTCGAGGATATTTTCCCATTGATTTTTAGGGGGAATGGAAGAGAGAGGGAAAGATAGAGAAACATCGGTGTGAGAGAAACACCTCGATTGGTTGCCTCCTGCACAAGCCCTGACCAGGGACCGGGCGGGGGAGGAGCCTGCAACCAAGGTATGTGCCCTTGACTGGAATCGAACCCGGGAGCCATCCACAGGCCGATGGTCTATCCACTGAGCCAAACCGTCTAGGGCTAAGCTTTTTAAGATGCTGCTGACTTTGATGGCAAGTATGTTGTTGAGGATTTTGGCATCAGAGTTCTTCAGGGATATTGGCCTGTGGTTTTCTTGTAGTGTCTTTGTCTGGCTTTGGTATCAGGGTAATGCTGGGCTCAGAGAATGAGTTTGGGAGTATTCCCTCCACTTAACTGTTTTGGGAGAGTTTGAGGAGGTTCGGTGTTAATTCTATTTTTGTTTGTTTTTTAATTTTATTAAAAATTTTTTTTTATTAAATGTATTGGGTGACATTGGCTAATATGACCACATAGGTTTCAAGTGTCCATTTCTGTGATACAAGATCTGTGTATTGCAGTGTGCGCCTACCACCCAAATTCAAACCATCTTCCATACCATATATTAGACCCTCTCCATCCTTCAATTCTTCTTTAAATATTTGGTAAAATTCTCCAGTGAAACCATCTGCTTTTAGGCTTTGTTGGGAGGTTTGTAAAAATTTTTTTTATTGATTTTATAGAGGAAGGGAGAGGGAGATTGAAACATCAATGATGAGAGAGAATCATTGATCAGCTGCCTCCTGCATGCCCCCCACTGGGGATCGAGCCCGCAACCTGGGCATGTGCCCTTGACCAGAATCGAACCCGGGACCCTTCAGTCCGCAGGCTGACACTCTATCCACTGAGCCACACCAGCTAGGTCTCATTTGTTGCTTCTTGTTTGTGCCCTGACCAGGGATCGAACCCACAACCTAGGTGTTTCAGGATGATGCTCTAACCAACTGAACTACCCAACCAGGGCCACAACTTTTTTTTTCTTGTGATGAGGACTTCAAGATCTGCTCTCTTAGCAACTTTTAAATATGAACTATAGTATTATTAACTACTAGTGGCCCAGTGCACGAAATTTGTGCACATTAAAAGGGAATTAATTAGAGGAAATATTTTAATGTTGCTATTTGCCCTTTCTCTATAATAGGAGTGTCAGAGATGAAAGAAAATTAGTAAAATGTATATGAAAATCTTCCTCCTGTCAGAGTCTGGGGTGCACCACAGTGTTGGGGTCCAGCCCCAACAGGTCCAGGGGTTCCCATAGTTGTGCACAGAGTCGGCGATGAAGGAATGACATGGAGGCAGTGTTCAGTTGATCATCATGGTTGGGTTCTCTCCTTATTGTCCTGTTACATCTGTATTTATATCATTTGATCCTATAAGCATGCCTCTATAATCACATCATATGTATGTTTTGGGTAACGTTCTACAGTTCCTTGTTTCTTATCTGACCTTTGCCAAAAATCCTGTCTCTATCTAGTTCTGTTGATTTTAATCTTGTCTAGGTTAATCTCTGTGTTCCATTACAAGGGCTATTCCAAGGTCACTGCTCTACTGATAAGCTACAAGGAAGTGACTGAAGGAGATTATCCTACCCAGTAAAGGTTATGTCCTCCCAGCCTCGCTGCTTGCCTTCCCGGGGACTGCTCTGTGTCAGTGGGTCTCCAGGGGTATAGGCTTTGGTGCTTTCCCTGGTGGGCAGACCCCTGGGGATGCGGGCCCAACAAGTCCCAAATTTATTGCCAACAGTCTTAGACCAAGTTCTTCATAAGTAGTACATGGTATTTCTGTAACACTAGGGGGATTTACTGATTTATTCTCTTCCTTAGTCCTGTTAACCCCTAACCTGGGGAAACAACCTTTCTGGGGGAGGTGGTCCTGGTTAAAACACATAGCGCTAAGAGGGGGAGCAAACATATGTCATATACGCCAGGTCCCTTGAAACATAAGCTGTGCAGATGTTTCTTCCCTGTAACGACTGTGTCAAGCACGCAAGGGTGGACCGGCTTCCAGCAAATTCCCCCATTTTTATTTTTTAAATGACAGCGCGTGTAAATCAGCAGCCACCTCTCGGACTGGGTTGTTTAAGACTCAGAAGAAGACTTGTTTGTGATTTTGCTAACAGGTCAGTCTGAGGCTTAACCCTATATCGGCTCCCCACACCGCCGGACCCAGAGTCAAGTCCCCACCCACCCACGCACACCTCGAAATCGCCCAAGACCCAGACCCAGCTGGCTCCACCTTCATCAAGTCCTGCAGGGCGGGGGTGGGGGGTAAGGGAGTGGGAGGATGCAGTCTCAGGTCCCCCGGCCCGGGTGGGAGAGACTTGAGGACCATTTACATCTTAGCTCTTTATTATATAGGACTAGAGGCCCCATGCACGAAATCGTGCAGGGAGGGTGGGGTCCCTCAGCCCGACCTGCACCCTCTCACAATCCGGGACCACTGGTTCCTAACCACTGGCCTGCCTGCCTGCCTGCCTGATTGCCCCTAACCACTCTGCCTGCCTGCCTGATCACCCCAACCACTCTGCCTGCCTGCTCACCTCTAACCACTCTGCTTGCCTGCCTGATCACCCTTAACCACTCTGCCTGCCTGATCACCCCTAACCACTCTGCCTGCCTGTCTGATCGCCCCTAACTGCTCACCTGCCCATCTGATCACCCCTAACCGCCTCTGCCTCAGCCCCCACCGCTGCAGCTTCATCCGGAAGGACGTCCAGAAGGTTGTTTGGCTGTCCAGTCTAATTAGCATATTACGCTTTTATTATTATAGATAGTCACCATGCTATACATTACATTTCCCAATTTTTCTGTTTCTTCATATTCCAATCTGGGTAGGTGTGTATCTCCAGGAATTACTCATTTCTTTTAGGTTATCCAAATCGTTGGTGTATAACTGCTCACAATATTCTCTTATAATCTTTATGTCTGTGAAATCAGCTGTAATGCCTCCTCTTTCACTTCTAATTTTAATTATTGGAGTTTTCTCTCCCCTCCATACCCCCACCCCCCTTGGTTCCTATAGCTAAGGGTTTGTCAGTTTTGATGATCTTTTCAAAAACTAACTCTTCATTTTGTTGACTTTTTTTCCTATTGTTTCTCTATGCTCTGTTTTGTTTACTATCTCTGCTCTAATCTTTATTATTTCCTTCCTCTGCTAGCTTGGGTCTAGTGTATTCTTGTTTTTTAGTTGCTTGAGGTATGAAGTGAGGTTGTTGATTTGAGCCCTTTCTTCTTTTTTAATGCGAACATTTCATAGCTCTAAATTCCCCCTTAGCGCCGCTTCCACTGCGTCTCATAAGGTTTGGAATATTGTGTTTTTCTTTTCATTGGTCTCGAGGTAGTTTCTGATTTCCCTTGTGATTTATTCTTTGACCCATCGGTTGTTTAAAAGTGTGTTGTTTAATTTCCATCCGTTTGTGGATTTTTTCTAGTTTTCCCTCTGCTATTGATTTCTGGTTTCATTCCATTGTTACTGGAAAAAATACTTGCTATGATTTCAATCTTTTTTTAAAAATATATATTTTTATTATTGCCCTAGCCCAGGGGTCCTCAAACTATGGCCCGCGGGCCACA